CACGGCGAACGCATTGTACGCATTCTGCGCATCATCGCGCGCACATGTCTCCGGCGTGAGAAAGCAGCGCGTGGCCCGAGAGCTGAAACAACAGACGTTTGGTTTGGGGAGCGCGGCGTACGAGCCAGAAGGCCAGCGTCTCCTCTCGCGAGCCGGACAGCGTGGCGGGGTCAAAGTCGGCCAGCTTGTCGAGGTAGTTGGCGAAGTCGGGGTCGGCTCGCCGACGCAAGGTCTCGTAGTCCACCACCGTCTCCTGTATGCCATCGATCTTGGCTGCGGGCCATTTATTTGATTAATAATAAATATAATTCAGTAATATTTAATACTGAATTATTTGGGGGGGGCACGACGAAAGCGAAGAAAGCGACAAAGAACGAAGAGGGTTGGGTGGAGGTTACCAGTGGAGGCGTAGGACTGGAGGACGCGTGTCCATAAAGTGTGATCGAACCCCGCCGGCGCTACTGGCGAGGGCGTCACCTCGCTCGCCGCCACAAGCGAGGCGAGCACGACGAGGAGAAGATAGGGCAAGAGCGCAAGGTGGCATCGTGTCCGTCGCTCCATGTTTGTTTTTGCGCCAAGCAAGACGTTTTGCAACTCTGAAATCTCCTTTTCTCTTTCATTAGGGCTAGGAGATTATTTTCTCAAAGCCTTTTCTTTGGAGATAAACTGCTTTTTCGCTTTAGCGCTGGCTTTTGTTTTCTTCGAAACGACATCAGTTTGGTTCCACGCTTTGATCCCGACACAAAGATGAAGAGGAAAAGGGAAGGCCTCGCGGCCGAAGCAGACAAACAAGGTAGGGAGGAGCTGGAGGCTCCAGACAAGGTCCGACCACGAAAAGAGGAGGGTTGTAACTCTGGCGGCCACATGGACCACCTGGCCCCGGAGCTCGTGGGCCTCGTCCTGTGCCACGTCGACCACCTCTCTCTGCCCGTGTGCCGGGCCGTGTGCCGAAAATGGTCGGATGCCCTCGCCGCACAGTGCCTGCCCGAGGGCGCCAGCGACGGCGACTGCGACGACGGCGAGGACGATGACAAAGGAACCACCGCTACGTTGGCCGATGCCGCGGCCGAGGTGGTGGCCGAAGAGGAGGACGGCGAGGAGAACTACTGGAACTATGCGGGGCGGCTGGCGGCCCACGGCCGGCTGACGGTGCTGCAGTGGGCCCGCGCCCAGGGCTGCCCGGTGGACGAGATCGAACACGCCCGTGGCCACGCGGCCAGGACAGGCCACCTCCCAGTCCTCCAGTGGCTCTACGACATTGTCGACAACGAAGACCACGAAGACGAAGACGAAGACGATGACGGTGACGGCGACGGCGACGGTGATGGTGACGACGATGCCACAGTCGAGCAAGCGGCCAAGGGTGGCCATGTGGCGGTGCTCGAGTGGCTGCGGGACCGTCGGGGCTGCGCATTCGCTGACGCCAGGCTGTGCGAGCTGGCGGCCGAGCAGGGCCAGCAGGCGGCGGTTCAATGGTTACGCGCCAATGGCTGCGCCTGGGACGAGCGCGCGTGCTATGCCGCGGCCCACGGCGGCCACCTCGCACTGCTGCAGTGGCTGCGCTCTGAGGGCTGCCCCTGGGACCGGCGCACCTGCTCCAACGCCGCCCACGGGGGCCACCTCGAGGTGCTGCAGTGGGCGCGGGCCAACGGCTGCCCGTGGGACACCGGCACGTGTACCGACGCGGCCTTCGGGGGCCGTCTCGAGGTTCTGCAGTGGGCGCGGGCCAACGGCTGCCTGTGGGACAGCCAGACCATCCACGCGGCTGAGGAAGAAGGTCACGACGAAGTGGCTCGGTGGCTGCGCGCAAACGGGTGCCCCGAGTGAAGCCCTTCTTCTTGCGTTCGCTTAGTTGTGATCACTGATCACCAAACATTTCTACAACTTCTCAGTCAATGCAAACTCGTTTTACTGCCCCTCACGCCACGGACTGGTGGAGCGGGGGAAAGGAAGGGGAGATGGGGGGAGTGGGTGAACATAGTAGGGCGGGCCGGGAGTGGGTGCTGTGGGCCAGCACTCCCGGGGGGTGGCTGCTGCTGGGGTGGTGCAGCGCCGTCGTTGTTCTGTTTCGTTTGCGCCGGCTCTCGTCGGTGATGTGCCGGGCGCGAGGGTGAAAGAACCTGCGTGCCATGGCGCGGTGATGGTGCGCTCTCTCGGGCTGGCTTGATGAACGCAGAAAGAAAGACCCTCGTTGTGTGATGATGATCCGTGGTGGTCGCTCGGAGATGACTGGTCTCCGGTGGTGCGAAGCCTATCGCGATCGACCGATTTCGCGGGCTTCGCTCGACCGCCTCGTGGTCCGCGCGCCAGACTTGTCGCGCGGACCGTGTCCTCGCACTCTAGCCCACGGGCCTGTGACTGGCTTCGAATCGTCGACGACGCCTTGTTTGTTGTCGTCGTCGTCGTCGTCGATGTTGTCGTCGATGTTGTCGTCATCGTCGAAGCCGTCGTTGTCGTCGTCGAAGTCATCGTCGTCGACATTGCACCGTTGCATGGTGCGCCCGTGGGGTCTCGGAGTGCCTCCTGTACGGCCCAAGCAAAGGCGTCGAGCCTCTCTAAGCTTGGCCGTTGTCGCCTCTTCTTCCTCCTCTTCGTTGCTCCGCGGGCTCAGATGGTGGTTTACTGGTGTGCGAGGGTTTCCCGCGGCGAATCGGAGCAGTCGTCGAGCAGTTCGGTTCTCGTCGTGCGTGTGAGAAGAAGTTGGCGAAAGGAGCTTCCGCCCCGCGAGGGAGTCATCGATGGTTCTCGCGGGGGTGTCGTGTGCGGAAGGGGATCTCTCTCTCGTCGTTGTTGTTGTGGTTCGAACTGTGGTGGGGTGACGGAGAGAGCCAGCCTTTGTAGCCCAAGGTCGGGGCCGCGTTCACTCGCAAACGCGCGCGCCCGGGGACGACGTGCAGTGGTGGTGGTGCCAGTAGTGGTTCACACTCAGCAGCACGTCGCCGTGGGGATGGGTACAGCCGACGCTGGATCACGGCCTGGATGAATCGAGAGAAATGGGTATGTAGAGCCCTCGTTGTCCCTCGCTGCCTCGTCTCTTATGCGCCTCGCCGCCTTGTGTAAAGCCTACCGTCGTCGGTGTGGTGGGAGTTATGTTTGAGGAATGCACGGTATGCGTAGCGCGTGTGCGGCTGTGTGTGTGCGGCAGTGTGTGTGTGTGTGTGTGTGTGTGTGTGGAAGATGACGTACGCGGCGTGGGCGTCATGATGGATCCTGCTGGCGACGGTCATGGGCGACCGTCCACCAGTGGACGAGGTAGCAGGGTAGAGATAGAGTCGGGTAGTTCTCTCGCTGGGGCGGTGGCCTTGGTGGGCGGCCAGCGCGCGCAGCGATCCAGGGCCGCGGTCCAGCGTCAGCTGTACCCATCCCCACGGCGACGTGCTGCCGAGTGTGTGGGGAATGGGACGCAGCGAAAGGTCAAGGTCGACGCGACGGGCCGGGCGGTGGCGGAGAGGCAAGTGTACGGTTGCGGGAAGTGGTGGCTTGTGACGTTTACTTCCGATAGCGCTGGATGGGTGCATTCATCACGGCTTAGGGTGAGGAAAACCGAAAAAAAAAAACAATGGGCGGAGGGGTCAGGGAAACCTGTGCGCTATCAGAGCCATGGACGGAGTCAGCGAGAGCGTCTTCCTCAGAGCCTTCCAGATCGAGTGACGACCCGGAATACCGAGAGGGAGATGTGCACAAGCCTAACTTTTTCAGAAAGAGATCACCTGCGCCAAAACGAAGAGGTGCTCGAGGTCAACCGCTGTGTAGGAAACTCTTGAAAGAAAGAACCAGCTAGCATACCTTCTGGTTTGTGGTGGTCGTTGAACCAAGGTAAAGCGGAGCGATCATGTGGATGATGTTGTTCAGCTTCTGCTAGGGGCAGGTTCATGGTATCGAAGGCCTCCCCTGAAAAAATAATAGATGGCGGTAAAAAGACCGGTTCAGCCGCTCAAACAAGACACACACCAACTGGACAACACGTACCTTCCTGTACGCCGAACAAGGCGGAGAGCTGCGTCGGAGAAGGTCCATCTGAGCCGCTCGGGGCACTGAGCGAGAAGAACAACAATTGTTCGATTTCGGTCATGTCGCGCTCGAAAGGAGTTACCTGGTTGGCCTATTCCCGAGGCAATGGAAATCAGATCAGCCTATGTTTTGGCCATTTGAACACATGAAACGTTGGACGCACTCCAGGGGTGATCGCTTGAACTTCCGAGGCCCCATCATTACCAGGGCTGCCCTGAAAGGGCGATGAACCGGTGTGTCCAGCCTCTGGGCAAGGAGGGACTGCGGTGTTGTTGCCAGGATGTGGAGGCATGGCCTGTTCATTGAACCGGCGGGGAATATTAGTGTCAAGCACCCTGCAGGTCATGACTAATTCTCCACCGCAAGGAGCAGAATACCCCAGTTGTAGGATCATCGCCCATTGGGGGTGGACCTGTCGGGTCCAGACTTGCTGACGGATTGAAATTGTCCTGCTGCGGTGGCCTGCTCGCAAAGGCCGGCGCGGCCACTGCACGCAGCTGATTAGAAAGAGGGAACTATTGGCAAAGTGAAAGGGGATTGAACGGACCAGCAGACGGTTCCTCGTCTAAGCGCTGACGCTTATGATTGCTACCAGTCTGTTTCTCTTTGCCCCCGCGCTTTGCGTTCACATGGTGCACTGGAAACAAACACACACGACACACACGCACGACACACACACACGCACCACAGCACAGGCAAGCTTGATGTGTGAGTGATCAATGGGATGTCACTAAGCCATAGGAACCCCGCGTACAGGAAAGTGAACAGGTCACCAGGCCCGTAAGGGACTTGACGACAAACTCGACCTCAAGCCCACTTTTCGGGTGATTACAGTGCACCTGCCACTCGTGAATAAGAGAAAGTCGAGAGTTTTTGAATAAGAGAAAGGCGAAAGGGATGTTGTTGGCTTGGCATGGTGCGTACCCTCATCTGAAACACGCAGCTTCCCTCCTCATCAAGCTGGAGAGTCTGGCCAAAGGGAGAATGCACCTGGACCAGGCTCGGGTTGGCATACTTGTCGTCCTTCTCCCACGCGCTTTCCTCCGCGGCCGCTTTCCGCTTTGCCTGGCGGTCCTGCTCCACTTTGCCCGGTTGGGGCACCTGACGCATCATCTCGTTCTGGCACTTCTTGAGCAGCCTTTGCCCCAGCTGCTCTCGACGCTCCTGGCGCAGCTGCGCCATGCAGGGTGGGCAATTTACCTGAAGAAGAAAGAAAAGAAGAGAAAAGGGGTGAGAAAAGAAAAAGACCCGGCGAAGAGGACCGGGGCAAAAGACCTGTTCGTGGGTGCGCTTGGCCAAAAGCCTGGCTTCGAGCTGGGCACAGCCGGGAGGTGCGCGCCCGTTGCGCCAGAGCTTGTCATTGCCGTCGCTCCAGTTGCGGTCGATAATCCACAAGAGCGCCCCCGGCGGACCGACGTGGCACAGGCGAACTTCTTCGTAGCGCCCGCGAGCGACCTCCCAGTGTGCGAGCCTTTCGGCGCGAGGGTAGCCACCAGCGGCTTCTTGGCCTGGGTCGTAGTCCATCGTGTGGCTTTTTTTGGTCTGGTGCGGTTTGGGTTGCTTTAAATTATGAACGAGCGGAAGATGTACTGGAGTTCTCCTCCGCCGGTGTGGGTGGCCCTGTTTGCGTGTGTGGGGAGACTGTCCGCTTCTCAAGCTTCCGATATTCAGAAATTTCGGTCGATGGTGCGATATTTCACCGACGCCAAATTTCGGCCGTCGCAGCCAATGAATGAGCGAGGAATGGTTGCAGTGCCACATCGCTGGCCTCTCACCAAAAAACCATGGCTTACATACTTTGTGATGCACATGGTCTTCTTTGTTATCTCACACACAAGATGAACTTGAATGCTATACTCCTTTATGCGTCCTTTTCGATGTGCTTAGTGGGCCACTGTGCTCTGCTCGGGCTATTTGGGTTCCCTCTGGTCGAGGTGGTCGGGCTGCGCAGACCTTCGGAATGCGGGAGGTCATGACTGGCTTGGGCCAAGCTCTGGCATCCGACAGCGAGCGGCCACATTCCTTCGGGAGCGAGCTGGCAGCGGCGCAAGGCGCAAGCGGAGGACGGGTGGTGCGGGCGGGTAGTGCGGCTCTCTTCGTCGACCGACGGACGAGGAGCTGCGGATATCTCGACAGGTCGGCGCGATTGCTTGCCGAGTGTAGATCTTCTTCGAACTGTTTCTCTTTCGTGACTTGGTCTTCCCCATCAGAATTCCTCTCTGCAGTACCGGCATTCAAGAGCACCGCCATTCAGTCCAATAAATACAAGACACGCGATACACACAAACGACACACGACACACGGCACACACGGCACGCACTACACACACGACACACACGCACATAAGAGACAGGACCACGTACGATAAGGGACACCTGGTCAGTAGCTGCACAGTTCGAAGAAGATCGACACTCGGCAAGCAATCGCGCCGATCTGTCGAGATATCCGCAGCTCCTCGTCCGTCCGTCGGTCGACGAAGAGAGCCGCACTACCCGCCCGCACCACCCGTCCTCCGCTTGCGCTTGCGTCGCTGCCAGCTCGCTCCCGAAGGAATGTGGCCGCTCGTTGTCGGATGCCAGAGCTTGCCTCAAGCCAGGCATGACCCCCGCACCTGGAAGGTCGTTGCCACTTGGGCCAGCTCTCGACCGGTCAAACCAATGATGGTCGTTTGCAGAAGCATGTCGCGGATCGCCTATTCATTTCGGCCTGTGGTGTGAGGGAGAGTCGAGTGAGCACCGTAAGCGGCAGCGAGGTGAGCAAAGAAAGAAGAGCGCGCGGCGTACATAGCGGAGTTGTTGTCGTCGTCGTCGCCACCATCGTGGTGGAGTGTTGCGTGTTGGGAATGTTTTGCGTGTGGATAGCTGCCTGTTGGGTGATCGCGAACGAGAGATCAAATCAGTATATCGCACAGTTGCGTGAATGCTTCAAACGAGTGAGTAAAGAGAGTGAAGCGAGTGACGTACGTGGCAAGCTTGCCTTCGCTTAGTTGAAGAACTGATCGGTGTCGAATTCCGTCTCGTCTTCGCGAGCCGCCTCTCCTTGAGGAGGGGCAGACGTCGGTAGAGCGAGCGGGTCGGGTCGCACGACACTCGGGTGCGGATAGGGTGTGATGAAGCGGTCGTCTCGCAGTGGTGCTGCGTGGCTGTTGTTGTCGTAGATGCTGTTGTTGTCGACGTAGGAAATGGAATTGGTGGGAGGGTTCCAGTCAAAGCTGCCGTACTGTGGGGTTCCTGCGGGGCTGGTGGTCGTGGACCCGGTCAGCTCAATTGGCCCTGGTTCTGGGTTCAAAGGGTGCTGGTCGGACGCGAGGCCTTGGTCCTGGTGCTGCGCGAGTCCCTCTGGTCGGTCGGCTTGGGCGTCGGACGTGCGCTGCCGCTTGCTTCGGCGGGCCGGCTCTTGCCGACGGGCCGTGCCGCGATTGGTGATGACTTCGCCCACTGCGCACACATCAACACACATGTAGTGTCGTGGTGGTGTGAGTGCCTCCAGGCGCGCTGGTGACGTCAGCACTGCTGAGCGGCAGAGCCCGCTGGTCGTTGGGGGATCGTACAGTCGAGCTCGCCTACGGGGTAGAGAAATACCCCGTGTTCGTCTTCGATCCACAGGCGCACGCGGAAGCCACGGCCCTCCTGGTGGGAAGAGAAACAGGTGGTCTATGTGTCGCGGTAGTGGCACAACAACGCGTAAGTCTTGTGCGTCGTGCGTGTCGCGATGTGTCGTGTGTGTCGAACGCACCCTGATTGCCAACTGGAGAGCCTGGTCGAGGGGGGCTGGAGATTGAGGGTCGTAGAGAATGCTGTTTTTCACTCCTAAAGGGTGGATGCGGAGAAGGTCGCGCGCTTCACCGAGGGCACAACTATCTTCTCGGCACCGCACTTGGCGCTCCTGTAAACAATTTTGGAAATTGAAATATAAAAAGTTAACACAAAGCTATTACATGATTTGTTTATTGTTCGTACCCCGCCTTGGTTGAGTACCAGACAGCCACGAAGGTAGAGCGTTCCGGAACTGGTCGGGGGGTCTTGCAGCTTGTGGTTCCCCTTGTGGTAATTGGCAGGGTGGACTCGCAGCAGACTACTGGTCGGCCAGACCACAAACAAGACCATGAAGAAGCTGGTGTTCGCAATACGGTCCGACCGTCCCCCGTGGAACGAGAGGCGCGGCCAGGTTCTTTCGTCGCTTTCGCTTTCGCTTTCGCTCTTTCTCATCAAGATTTAGTTCTCGATTACTGTGCCGTAGCTGGCTCTTCTCGCGTAGTGTAAACGCCCTTTCCCGCCGAAGCGTGAGCGCACTACCCACCTCCGAGCTTGTGCCGCAACGTGATTGGCTGACTGGTTGGGGCGGTGGGGCTCGGAGCTTGGAATGTGAAGCACCCGTAGCCTGACATGGCCCAAAGAATGAAGCGGCGCAAACACAAACAGCAAACGTAGAAGCCCGCGAGGTTGTTTGGGAAAGCAATTTATTGCCATTTTTAAGGCTATGGGGGCGGGTGGCAGGCCAGGGCGTGAGACTGAGGTGCAAAGCCACAAGCGAAGTAGCATGCAGACTCAATCAACAGGCAGTGGTGTTAGCTGTACAATTGGCGTAGTTGCCTGCTGGATGAGCTGCATGAATGTGTGAAAGTGGGCCACAAGCTGCTTGTTGAGGGCTCTTGCTGCATTCATGGTCATTGTCTCTCTCTCTCTCTCTTCTTTCCTGTCACACATCACATACTCTCAACAGGTTATGGACCCACACCACGACATCAACTGCTGTGCTTATGACAACTGAAGGATGAAGTATGTCCTACAAACCAGGTGTACCTTTTTCACTAACTTTCAGAATTATGAGAGACCCAAAGCCAATCTGACACCATGAGTAGGACAGAGTGTAGGTGTTCATTGTCCATCCTCTTCACCAAGCCTTTCAAGCTGTAGGCTAGGATCAAGGTGCTGCAACATGTGAAACTGAGACTTTGCTGGGGCCACCATCATTGGTGACAGCCACTTCTCATGGGGAAATACAAGTCGGCATCAAAGTCATTGTCCTGACCACTCAGCAACTGCAAATAATTATAGCGTTTGGGTGGGAGAAAGAAGTTATGAGGAGAGGGATTGGCCTACGAAGCCGACCAGTCGATCTGGAGGAGGGTGACGACGGCCTTGGACTCGGACTTTGTGTTTTCCAACATCACCATTGGGTCGTCACTGCACAAACCAAACACTCACCGCCATCAGTACTGCGTGTGTGCGTGTGCGCGTGTGCGCGTGTGTGTGCAGTGGCGCACCTTGGGCATCTGGGAGTCATCGTCAAGGGGACGCGAAAGAGAAGAGTTGAGGTGAGCAAAGCAAGTGAGAGGAGGGGAGGAGAGAAGTGGAATTGTGCGGGGCGTACCTGAGGAGGAGCGGCGAGAAGAGGAGCGCGATATTGGAGGCCGTCATCTTTGTGGCCGGAACGTTGTCGGCATGCGTCAGCGCCTGCAAAAATCGAAGCACGTGCAGCAACACCTGACCGCACACACCACACAACCCTTTTTAGCATTGAACAACGCAATTAAGATGTATTATTTATTATTTATAATTAAAATTAAAATCATAATTATAATCAACTGGTGGTGATGTGCACCTTGTTGTGGACGGGCGGTAGATGGGCGACGAGTTCGCGCAGCTTTGCCTGCTGGTCGCAGTTGTTCAAAAACTCTTGGCTACCCGCGCACGGTGCGAAGGAGTGGTGAGCAACTATGAGGCCGTGACGAGGCACGCGGAGAGAGAGGATTGCGTACTAGAGCTCGGGCACGATGACGACGGGCGTGAGCTCGCGGAGCCAGGCCTTGAAGAGCGAGGCGAGGTCGTGCGGGCAGGCGCGCGGGTTGAACGTCAGATCGCCGCCCTCGACCTGCGCCCGCAGCCGGCTCACCTCCGCCCCGTCGCCCGAGATCCTGAACAGGCCCTCCGTCTTGAACCCTAGACCCGCACCGCACACGCACACACCGCACATGCAGGTGACAAACACGAGCACGACACACGCCGCACACACGACACGTCAGCAAAAGGGCTTTGCAGTGGAAGGGGAAGCGGAGAGGAGAGGCGGTACCGCCGGCGACTTCGATGGCGTCGGTGAGGGCGGGGAGGATGAGGGGAATGTCGGCCGCGGCGGTCTGGGGCAGTGGTGCTTGGACCGGCATCTCCAGCTGCTCCTGCAGGCAACTCCCGAACCACGACTTCTGGAACGGAGCCGCCTGGAGAGTCCTCAATTCATATCAGTTTACACACGACACGACACGACACACGACACACGACACGACACACGATAGCGAGAGGGTACCTTGTAGCGAACGATTTCCTGGAGGGTGATGGCTCGGTGGAGGGAGGCGGGTCTGCCCTTCTGCCCCAGCTTTCGCAAACAGTAGTGCGCTATCGCACGTACCTGCAGCAAGTCATCCAAAACCCACGGCACTGTCAGGTCCCAGACCGAGCCGCCTCGCCTCTGATTTGAATACTCTCGTGAGTGCGTACGTTCTCCTCGTTCCAGCCCAGGTAGAAGTTGAGGTAGGCCACCAGATGGACCTCCAGATCCTTCGTCGGATAGCAGATCGCTGTCAAAACCATACACACACACACACACACACACACACACACACACACACACGGGTGAGTGCGCACGCAGGGGCATGAGAGTTGGGCCAACGTTGCGTGGAGAGGTGCGTACAGGAGATGATGGCCAGCAGTTCCCACCCGAGTCCATTGCTCTTTCTGGCCGCCCGTTCAGTTGCGCGAGAAAAGAAAAACGAAAAAACGAAAAAGAACGAAAGAGAACGAAGAACGAAAGAAAAGCGGTGAGCGGCCACCTGGGCGATGAGCTTCGGGGGAGGGGAGAAAGGAGGTACGGTGATGGGTTCTGGGTGGTCTGCTTGCAGATCTGGATGTAGACCTCGTCTCTCAGCTCGGGCACGCGGTCAGCTGCACGTGCACACCAGGATGTGAGCTCGACAGGGCCAAAAACGAAACAAGGCCTCAGTTGGCGCACCCTCTACGGCAATATGCAGCGCGAGCTGGTCACCGCTCCGGTTGCCCGCTTTGACCTCCCGATCGCCCATGTACCGCTGGATGTCTGTCACCGCGGAAGATGAACGAAGAACGAAGAAACGGACGTGTCAGTGTTCGACATTGTTTGCGCAGCAGAAGAAAGTGGGACGAACTGCGGAACATCTTGATGGCGGCCTTGTGTGTGTCCCGCTTGGCGTGCTTGAGCAGTCCGCCGTTGATGTCCCCCTTTGTGACGAAAAAATGCGAAAGGGCAGAGTTATGCGAGCTGCTCGCTTGACGGAAACGCAAGTGAATGCGTGAGTGAATCGGCGCTGTACCTTGGACCAGACGAGGAGCTCGCGTACGGGCACGGTGCGCTTGAAGAGGCCCTTCTTCACCGTGCGGAAGTAGTGCTGGGCGTAGCCCTCGAGCTGGAACATGTTGATGTCTTTCTTGATGTCGGGCGACAGCGCGGGTCCACCCAGGTCCCTGAATACGCACGACGTCAGGCACATTAACACACACACACACCACACACACACCACACACACCACACACACAATAGGTCATG